AATTGATAAAGACGAGAGAGAAATTATTAAAATCATTGAATTTTCTATTTTGATATTAAATTTGTAATTAACGATTTATTATCTTATAATGCTGTCTTCTTTGTTTGCAGACAATCGCAAGCTAGAACTTATTGTGGTCACAGTCAAGAACCCATTTGATGCTTTATCAACTCTTCGACTGAAAAAGGGTTTATTTGACTTGGTTGTGTCTGACCTCCATATGCCTGAGATGAATGGCATGGAACTACAAAAACAAGTGGAAGAAGAATTCAAGCTTCCTGTGATTAGTAAGTGTAGTACTTTACCTCTTCTTCGTTTATGACATGGGATAAACATATATAATATATATATATATATATATATATATATTCAATCGATATTAGATTCGATCGGTTGAATCTAAAACAAAAACTCAAATTATCATCAATGTTTTATTAATAATTTAATTTAAAATGTTAGACTTGCAATAAAATAATTGGAAATATATTGTTAGATAACAAAAGAATATATATATAATAACACTAAAAAGAGTAATATAATGTTAAATATTAGAAAAATATATGACAAGGATAAAACTCTAATAATACACATGAATCATTAAATTAATGGATCCTGCTTTAAAATCATGATCTAACAACTCGTATACTTTTGAAGTTTTTTATCATTAAAAAATGTTTATATATATAACATTTTTAAAAGTATTATTCGAACTCATTACCATATAAATCACACCGTGTTAATTTATTGCAAAGTTATTAACTAATGTATTCCTTGCATTATTGATCTTTAAATTAGATTTTCTATTTTTTTTTTTTTGTCGAAGCTTTTCTGATTTCTTTATCATTTCTAATGCAGTAATGTCCTCAGATGAAAGTGACAACGTCATATCAAGAAGTCTAGAGAGTGGTGCTGCGTTTTATATAGTGAAACCAGCTAACAAAGATGATCTCAAGAATGTGTGGCATTATGCAGTTGCAATCAAAACAGGTAACTACCTTTCAATCAAGGAAATAGAAGGCTCTCGAGAACCATCTCCTTCTACATTGGTTGAGAGATTATCCCTTGAAGATGTGAATTCTGCAACATCTATCAATGATGAAAAACGGTGTAGAAAAAATGGAAGAAAGGAAGATCAAGAAGTAGATAGTCAGCCTCCCTCGAAAAAGCCTAGGGTGGTTTGGACTAATTCACTTCACAACCGGTTTTTGCAGGCCTTAAACCATATAGGGCTTGACAGTAAGCAGAATCTATTTTATTTTACACACACACACACACACGCACACACCTTTTACTTGCCAAATTTATTTGTGATGCTTTTCTTTGTACGTTCAAATCTATGTAGAGGCTGTTCCAAAAAGAATTCTTGAATGCATGAGTGTGCGAGGGCTGTCAAGAGAAAATATTGCCAGTCACTTACAGGTTTGTGTTTGTATAGTTTAGCACTCTTAAATCATGCTTCTCAATAGATCGATTTAGCTTTGCTCATGCTCTTTGATATTATTTCATATAAGAGGAGAAGAAATAGATTTTTCAAATAATTTATGGTACTATTTTTGGGCCTGCAAGAAAATGAGTTCTCATACTAAAATCATTCACTTCTAAATTTCATGCACTTATTTAAGTAGATCAATGTTTCTTAATCATTTGAGTTTATTTGAATATATATATATATATATATATATATATATTGATTACCCTTTTTTAGATAATCTCGTGTATATATAGTCTATTATTTTATACTTAGAAAAATAAAAATAAAAAGTTAACCAACGGTTGTTAAAAGAGTGCCAAATCCTTGCCTTAGCATCTTGACATTTTATACATGAGATTTATATATATTAAGGGCATATATATAGTTATCGACTATAAACCTTTTTTTTTCCTTGTTTTCGAAAGAAGAAAGATAATGCATCCTAACTAGCTAATCACATTTTTATGCTATTATAACAACTTGTCACTGACACAATTATGTCTTGATGATTTCACAGAAGTATCGAATCTTCCTTAAAAAGGTTGCAGAGAGAGGTGGTTGTTCATCGAAGAACTTGTCAGGACGAGATCTTAGGACAAACTTTGCGCCTAGCCAAACCTTTATGATGTTCAAAAATGCCCAGCAGGAATATTTCCAACGAGTAGCAAGAGCATCAATTCAAACTGGTCGTGGAGGGAACAACATTCCAACTCTTGGTGGTTCCAGTTTCAGGAACTTGCATTCTCCAAACCAACAAGCTCCGAGCAACAACTCCATACTTCAATCACCATACGGGCAGTCTCGTTTATTTGGCAATGCTAATTCTGCTAATCAGGCAAACCAAATAAGATCAGGACTGGAATCAAACTATAGTATTGGAGCAAACATGCCTTCTCATGGAGGTGTGATCCCTACTGGCCTCACTCATGGTACAAGTCCAATGCAAATGTACCATCCACAAAATCAAGCAAGATCATATCTTCAGAATTTTGGTAGCCCACCACTAATTAACAGGTTTGGTGCTGTTGGAATTCAGGCTACCAACTACGGGTCAGGAGTTGGAGATATTGGAATCATCAACAATTCCTTGAACACCAATAATAATTATGTTGGAATTCGTGTGACTCCCGATGGACACCTCATTGGATCAGGCCACATGCAACTCAATAAGAATGAACTATCAAATGGTTTTAGTGATGGTGGTCATCCTTGCTTGATGAATTGGGCTCGTAATGGCAACATGAACGCTGCATCTTTAGGGTTTAACATAGCGTCAGCAAATTATGTGGCTCAAAGGGGATCTTTTTCTGCTGGTCTTGAGGGTGCAAACCAATTCCTGCCACCAGCACCATTCACTAGTGTTTATCATGGGAATACTCCAATGCCGCTGCCACCACCACCACCACAGCACCGGCTTGGTCTTGGAAATGGAGGACAAAATGACTATGTGTTTGGCCTCATGTACAGTAGTCCTCCTATCCTGGGTGGGAATTCTAATCAACAGCCACAGATTGGCCACGGTGAACTGAATGTTAGCAACATGCTTTTGGAACCTACCAACAATCCACCTGCTTATCAGGTTCTCAAAGATCACTGTTTTTAGACAACAAAATTTCTTGATTAAATTATCATCTTATTCCTGCTATATATGCAGCTTCCACAAGGTGTTGATCAAATGAGCACTCCCTTGCATGAACTCCTGACTCCGGACTTCTTGAACTCACTTCACATTGATGACAACACTCCTTGGAATGAACAACCTTCTAGCCAGGCATGACTATGTCTTGCTTCTCATTCCCGGCCCTTTTTTTGGCTAATCATTTACATGATATGCTATATATTATCTAGTTGGTAATCTTTTCGTCGAACAAAAATTCTTGGATTATCATTCTTTGTAGGTTCAAAGCGGAGAAGGAGCTATGAACCCCATCTGCGGAAGCAATGCTAATTCAATGGATGGATATTTTCCAAACTTGGATCAGGCAAGTACATAATACACAAATTCTACTCTCAGTAAGCGCAATTAAGTACTTTTAATTGCATTTAAAATATTTGACAACTAGCCCTTTTCTTATATTCCTACTTATATATACATGTGTGTGCAGCAAAATGGCAATGGTGACCTTGTGGATTCCGAGCTCAATAACCCTCAAGCAGTTGACAATGGGCCAACAGGAAATCAGGCATGTCAACAACAACAACACACACACTAAAGCATGCATGCAAGCACATATATCACTTTATATACATGTATCTATTACTCATTGATGAGGTATTACAAAATGTTTAAATGTAGCTAATTCCTAATAATTAAATTTTTATTTCGAATATTTCAGGCTTGGGATGATGATTTACTGGAGTCTCTGTTTGGAAAATGATTCCCTCTCGAGGGAGTAACAGCTTATGCAAGGATCGAAGTCCAATCATGAAGAAATTAAGTTCTAAATAGTATAGCATAGTATATTTTAATTCCGTATGATCGTGGCTTGGCCATGGGTGTGTATCTTCTATGCAAAGACTTCGTTTATTTTCTAGTGTTTGTTTTCATAGTTTATGAACAAGCAAGTATGCTTGTTGGACATCTATAATAAATATTATGAAACCTTTTATCCATACCTGGCATGAGTTACATGTTCTATTTTAATACTCGGGTATGTGAGTCATTGCATTGCGTTTTGTAATTTAAAGCTTAAACTACACAGCTGGCCTGGGAAATCTCTATTTTAATAAGTGGGGATGAAGCTGTGAAAACTGTGGGCTCTCTGGTGAAGTGGCTGGACTTATCACGAGTTTACATTACAAGCTCTCTTGCAAAATAAATCTCCTGTCAGAATAAGAAATCAAGGAGAAAAGTATGCGGAGCAGGTTTTCCACTGATAAAGAGATTGATGCTCGTTATTGGTTTCTGATGTCATTAACAAAAAGGTTGATTCTTTCTAGCATGCACAAAGAATTTATATGCATGGAGATGCGCATGTGTGCATTAGTGGTGGGGGGGAGAGGGGGGGTGGTCGTTGTGCAAAGAAGTTTGGTGTCCGATGGTGCGCTGCTCCTTAAATTCTTGTTTTATTTTTTTTATTTTCTTGAAAATTCTCAAACTAGTAATTATTTTTTCCATTATCAATACATAATTATATTATGCAGCTTGCACCAATTGCCTTGAAGAAATGCTTTATAGCCAATCATAATTACTTTTCCTATAAAAAAGAGATGGCTTGACTCTTGTATTTTTGGCAAGCAAAAGCATGAATGGAAGAGGAAACAAAACCTTTGATTATAATTCCACTCTTTGCCATCCTTAATTCTCTCCAAGATTTAGAATCTAATTCCAATCTCATCAACTTTCCTTCCTCAACCTCAATTTCAAAAAACGTAGCCGTTGGAAAATCTCTATTTCTACTACTTTACCTCTAGACATTAGGACACTGGAAATCTCAACTGGATCTTCGTTCAAGAACAAAAAAAGATTTGAGAGAATCTTTGCATAGTTAAGATTATTTTTCATTAGATTTTCTTTGGATTCTTCAGGATGATTTCTGGTCGGTGTGCAGCTTGCAAGTATTTGAGAAGGAGATGTCCTTCAGATTGCATTTTCTCTCCTTACTTTCCTTCTAATAATCCTCAAAGATTTGCTTGCGTTCACAGAATCTATGGCGCGAGTAATGTTGCAAAAATGCTCCAGGTAATTATCTTTGATAAATATATATCATATCTATCTCATATGTTTTCAATCTTTCTAGCACTTCAACTAAAATATTATTCGTTAAAATATGGTAGTTCCATACCATTTGCATTCAAGCTACACAGGAAAGAATAAAATAGAGAAGAGTTAATTTTTAATAATCCAATTTCTTCTTCTCCTTCTTCTTCTTCTTCTTATTATTATTATTAAGTAAAAAACCACAACAATTGGCCTAGAAAACTATTTCATGTGTTGACTTTAGTTAGATCAGATCTTGATATCATAGACACTTTTAATCGCTAGTGCAATTTCTTATGCTTTCCTTTTGGCTATTCCAGCAACTCCCAGCACATTTAAGAGCTGCAGCAGCAGACTCTTTGTATTATGAGGCACAAAGCAGAACTGAGGACCCTGTCTATGGTTGTGTAGGGATTATCTCTTTACTACACCAACAAATTCACGGTGTAGAAAGCCAACTAGCTAAAACAAAAGCTGAAATTGCAGTACTCAATTCTCTTGCACAAGAACCTGCTCAAATTCAAGAAAATGAAGTAGAAGCTAGCTTCAACAATTTCTTGCTGGAACAAGACAATATTGCTTGTGGCCAATATTTTAGCCATTCCACTTACATTCCTTCTAACTTTATGTAGTCTTGTTGTTCTAAAATAATTAATAAAACCAGCCAATCATGAATTATTTTTCTTTCTCTTTTTCAAGCGTCGACCCAAGGAATTCCTTCTCTTCATGGTGCGAGTTTTTGATATACATATGACTCAAAAAATAAAAAACTCACACATGTTTGTATTAGGAAAAGTTAGAAAGAAAAATTGCAAGAAAGTAGCTAGCAAAATTGACCTTCTTAATAAATTTTGTCTCAAAATTATAAAAAAATTGGACAGTTTGTAGCTTTTAGTTACTTATCTTATAAAAGAAAAAAAAAGAAAAAAGAAGAAAAAAAAGAGAGATATATAGTTGAGTACCGATGATACATGTCTCTATTCTTCATGTTTTAAAATAATAAAAATTTATTGGATAACTATCATGACATTTATTTTTACATCTCAATCTATAATTGTTTTTTATCTTGAAATATAAACCAACACAGCCTCTGCTGGTCATACTCACCAAGAGTTATAAAACCATGAGATTCAAAAGATTTTCTTTTGATACAAAAAAGGAAATGTCAAAAATTTGGATTTGAACTCTAATCGTTGCAATCAAGTCCAATGATTAGATATGAGTGTTAATTTTCCATTTCATTATTGATGGAACAATAAAATAATTACTTTATTCTTTAAAGAAAAATTGTTAAGTCTTTTATTAAGAGTAGATGGTCTATTTCTATAGCATAAAAATCATTTATGAATTCATTAAAGTAATAAAAGTTTTTCATATTTTATCTGTATAGTGAAATAATTTAATTATCTTTAAAAATATAATTTTTTAAAGTTAGCTCTAGGATTTTTTTTTGTACATCTATATTTTTTAAGAATATTAAAATGATATATTTACCTTTAAAAGCAAAATCTCTTGATATAGCATCTGAGGGCTTTGATGTTTTCTATCATATTTTTTATTTTGGTAATAAATAAAATGATTAAAAGACACTTTATTAATATATATATATATATAT